TTTCAGCAAACTCCAACTACAGTAGCTGTAGCTAGGTGACTAGGTGTCTACATGTTCTTCCATCATTTTTACTGTCCATACTTCTGCTAAACCCAAATAAAATGACAAGCAGTCTTAAATTATGTGCTAGCAACATCACACTTCTTCAATGACAAGCACATTGAAACACTTGATAGTACAAGGATTGAAACTAAAATTCAGTTAGTTTTCTTTTAAACATATGCTTGACCACTTGTACACCTACAGTAGTCAGTTCTCCTTATTTGTATTATTACCTTAATTGAATTGCAACTGGATCTGATATCCTTGTAATCATGGTGTACAGGCAGTTATGACTAGAGAACAGTTATGTCCCTGTGTACAACAGGATAGTGCCACTCTGAATTTCCTCTGTTTGTCTACTATCTGTCCAGACACCTTTGAAATGGTCTCAGAGGATGAGGATGGGAAGCTTATGTTCAAGGTCAATTACCACTACATGTCTCAAGTGAAGAACGCCAGTGAAGCAAACAGTGCGGCTCGATCCCGCCGCCTCGCCCAGGAGGCCGTCACCCTGTCCACCTCTCTCCCCCTGTCATCCTCTTCCAGTGTCTTTGTTCGCTGTGATGAGGAAAGACTGGACATCATGAAGGTAAAGTACCACTTCAGCTGCTCCTGTCTTATGGAGAGTTCACATTATTGAGAAAAAACAGCTTTTGCATGCACCTCACCATTATTGTGCATCTGGTGTACTGCGGAAGCTCGGTGCAGATGTTCTGGGTACATGGAATGGAGCAGGGCTGAGCCAAAGGTTCAGCTATGTTGGTCTTTGAGCCAAGTTATGCTGACCTTTATGTGTGCAGCCAATCACTGTTGACCACTGCTTGAACCGACATGAAACTAGTTAGTCTACTTGTGTTTCTGAATTTCCCAAACTGTACAATAGGTTATGACCATCATATTGAAATCGGATAAAGACAGATGATGACCTATTTAAATAGCAAAATATCAGCATGCAAGTGCTGCTACTAAAGTTGTTTAAAAAATACAGTTTGAACGTACTGCTGGCAATATTAATATTAGCATTGTAGCTAAGAAATTTTACTTCTGTTCTCTCAGCCTTAAATTGTTTACTTGCCCTTTGCTATTGCCTTACATAAGGATACGTACATACATATTGAGACCCGCTGTACCAGAGTCAACTTTCTCATGTGTCTAACACACCTGGCTAATAAAGCTGATTCTGAAGAAAGCATTTTGTACAGTGCCCCCTGGGAGTTTCTACTTGAGTTTCTGTGCTGACCAACATGGAACTCACCATCTTTTTTTCTGCCTTGAACACACCTTTAAGCCTGGCACCACATTATGCACTTATATTTTATGATATAGAACCATACAACTCGGCCATTCATAATTGGTTTTGATGGCTGTTGAGCATATTGTAATAACTGTTGGTGCTACAAGGAAATTGTTACAAAGTCATAAAAGTGAGCGTGATGGAGTATTTTCTGTTTGGCTTGTATGGAAAGGGGAATTTTCCCTGTGAGTAATAGAAACCAAATGTTTGGGAACCTAGTAAGCCTGAATGAAGACTTGTCTTCGATAGGGATGTTGTGTACTGTGTTACCGCAGCTGCTGTTTTTACCATGCGACTTGTCATTGACAGCTCTTACTCATTCTCCCAGTGACATTTAATAAATTGCTCTCACCCCACAATTACTGGCAGAGTCCCCTTTGCTAAATGTCAAAATCCTCATTTATTTAGCTCGATTTTGGCAAAAGAGCGCTCTGAAGTAAAGCATACCAACAACTACCATCAGAATCAAAATAGAAGCAGGCGAACAGATCACTCCATACAGTGTAATATTTTGCCTTGTTTGGTACTGACTCTTCAACTAACAGTACAGTAGGTATACAAACATTATGGCACTGAGTAAAACTTAAAAAAATAGAATTTTATATAATAAAAACTCAATATTTTACCACAAAGCAGAACAATCTTAGTATATTTTGTACCTGTTGTTTTTCTTACTGTGGGTATAAAAGGATAGATTTTTGTCCACAGCCAACAGTCTTGTCACAGCAGTGCAGTGTTGATACACAAACATAATCTACTAAAATTAAACCCCAAGAATAACATGGCCTAAGGATCCACATCAGCAGAAAAGGACAGTGTCTGCTGAAGTGGAAACCTCATGATCTGTGAGGGGTCAGTACACCCATGTTCCTCACCCCTGTGTCCTTACATTAGTATGCAAAAAGTTTTTCAACTCTGTCACAGCTGGTTTGATTCTTGAAATGCTTCCACACCAGATTTAGCAGACTTTAGTTCAAAGTGCAAAAAAAGTGTTGTATCTGAATGTTTGGATAAAATTAAATACATGAGGGAGTCACATTGCCCTCAAGAAATCGCATGTTTCATTGCTGAGCTTTTTCTTAGTTTTGTAGTATTTGAGATTGGTCTTGGTCTCGATGGGTCTCAAGACCACATTTTTACCCAGTCTTGTCTCGGTCTCAGACAAGGCAGACTCAGCATTTTATTTTGACACTAGTCAAAATAATGAGTGAATGTGGGGATGGTGCCTGTGTATTGTCTGTTTTATTTGTTAACATCATTACCACGGTTTTCCCTGCCATATCACCTCTTAGGCGCAGCGAGCGCCTTAAGCCGAAAGAATATAAAAAGGCAACGTATCAGAATGAACTTAACAGCAACGAGAGTTCTATGCTGAAAAAAATGGAGGTGACTTGATCTAAAACAGAATTGTAAGTTGGCAACAGGAATATCCTGCTAATCGGGAACCAGTGTTTGGACAAACGATTGTGTGATTGGTCATTAAACTAATCAGATTGGATATTCCTCTGTACTGGGATGGTAGTTGCACCCAGAGTAGTTTAATAGCTTAAAAACGACAGCAAAGAGAGAGGAGATAAAACAAATGTGGCCTATTTTACAACTTCAGTCTACTCAAAAGGGTGTTATTAGATGATCTGGTACAGCATCTGTACACATTGCACAGGATTATGACTTTGTCTGCACCTGTAGTCACCACATTTAGCCAGTATCATTTGGTGTCAGCTTTTGATTATAGAATTTCACTTTTAAAGTTATTAGAGAGAATATCTACACCTGCAGAGTGAGTGCTTCCATGGGCAAGCCAGATGTTATTGTACCATTAATTTTTCCAGAATGTGATGACATCTTTACATGAGAAAGTTTCCTGAAGAAAGATCAGATCAGCACCATTGTCCTTGCAGAATATGAAGACAGCTTTTCTCTTCACCAGGTTTCACAGTCCTGCGGCACTGATAGAAGTCAGTTTAAGATTCATGAAATGTAGATTGGTCTCAGAAGGAGAGAAAAAAAACAGATGAACAAAAATAGAGGAGTAAAAGTCTCCTCAAAAATAAGTCTCTGCTTTTAAGAGAAGTGTGAGTTAAGTAGATTTAAGGACAACAAAGTAACAACCTAGACCCTGTCAGCATCAAATTCCAAGAAAATGTTTAACATGTCATCCCATTATACCAGGAAATGGATGCAAAGGAATCTTCATAATGAAGTGAACTGAAAATCAAAATTTCAGGTTAGTATTTGTGGGGAGAGTTCTTTGCTCAGCAAAAACTTATTTTCCTTCAGGGAGTGCTCTCACTCCCTTGAAGCCAGATTTCAGGAACTCCATTCAGGCTTTCTGAATGAGTGGCCAGAAATTACTTCTGGCCATTTTATCCATCAGGGTCAGGTCTTCTGTGAATCTCAGCTTTTTTCTTTTGTCATGGCACTGTTTTTGGCCTTCTGCCAGATCACATCACAGACCATGCGAAATGTAAACATAATGATAGAGCATATCTTTTCACTTTGAATATTTCCAACTCTGAACCACATCAACAGCAGCATCCAAGTGAGAGTTCTGCAGCAATACCTTAACAGATGTCAGTTATGATTTTCTTCACATTCTCTTCTTTTACCTCGGGGACTGTGCAGACAGAGAGCCCATCTTCTTCAATACGATTCACTTTCTGCCAGCCATTGTTCCATGGTGGGAACCATCTTTTCCACAGCCTAACATTTCTCTGTAGCTTTCTTGTTCTCTTCTTTAAAACTTTGAATGTCTGTGACTCAGTTTATGTTAGATTCCAATTTCTGAAACTGTTTTCACAAATCATAGTCTCCAAGTTGTCGGCTTCTGGTCCAGAGCATTCAGTATATTGGCCTGAACCTCTCGGAGAAACAGTCCCGTTTTCCTTATCTTTTTCTGTTTTGGCTACCTCTGTGTCATTTGAGGAATCCATTAAATCTCTGACATTTTTTGGTGACCACTTTTAACTGTAAGCATGCGTTGGTTCAACTTTTATTATTCCCGGGATGGGGAAATTCGCAGAGCTACAGCAGCATAGGGATAGAAACAAGGCACTCAAGGTTAAGAATAAACAGTATTCTCAGTAAAATAAGAACAATATAAATATAATACTAAGTAAAAAGTGAAACTAATATTTCACACTGATATACTGAGCATTCACAGCTTTAAATGGTAAATGGTCTTATACTTGTATAGCATTTTTCGACGCTTTACAGCACACTCAAAGCACTTTTACACTACTTGGCCATTCACCCATTCGCACACACTGGTGTTATCACCGGGAGCAACTGGGGGGGGTTCAGTGTCTTGACAGACTTAGGCAAGAAAGTTACAGAGAAGGACACTTTGACACTTTGACTGGACAAGCCGGGAATCAAACCGCTAATCCTCCGGTTAGGAAACTACCCGTTTTACCTCCTAAGCCACAGGTGCCCCCAGACTACAGTCTGTAGTGTGTGGGATCAGTGGGGTGAAAGGGAGGGGTCTACTGGGAGCAGTACTGGTTGTACAATCTGGAAGGAAAGACCTGCGATAGCACTCCATCATGCGCCTGGGGTGAAGCAGTCTGTCACTGACGGGGCTGCACAGGTCTGTCAGAGTCTCATGCACGAGGTGGGAGTCAGTGTCCAGCAGGGGTGTCAGCCACCACCAGCACTGGGTCAAGGGGACTTCCCAGGACAGAGTCGGCCCTCTTGACCAGTTAGTCTAGTCTTTTCCTGTCTGTGGTAAAGATGCTGCTGCACTCCAAACAATCTTAGTCTCCTCAGCAGGTAGAGTCTGCTCTGGTCTTTCTTGTAAAGGGCCTCAGTGTTGTTTGACCAGTCCAGTTTATTGCTGAGGTGAACACCCAGGTAAGAGTCCACTCTCTGTGTCCTTTCCTTGGAAGTTCACTGATGTCAGAGGGGGGGTGTCTGCTCCTGTAGAAATCCATCACCAGCTCTTTGGTCTTCCCTGCATTGATCTGGAGGCGGTTCTGCAGACACCAGTCCATAAAATCCTGGATCAGTTCTCTGTACTCCCCGTCATCCTCATCTATGATGAGGCTAATGATTGCAGTCATCAGAAAAGTTTTGCAGGTGATAGTTCATTAAGCTGTACATGAAGTCGGCAGTGTACAAGGTGAAGAGGAACGGTGCCAAGTGTTCCCCAGGTTCTCTGGGTGAGAGAGGGCTCTGTGTAAGAGGTAAGTGACAGTGACATCCACCCCGATGCCAGGCTGGTGAGCTCATCTGTGGACCCCTTCAGTTTGCCTACCATAGGGCAGAGATGGACTAGGACCGTCTTCATCAGTGTCTTCATCAGGTGCAACATCAGTCTCACCAGCCTATAGCTGCTGAGGGACTGTGGTTGCTTGTGTCCTTGGCACCAGTGCCACACAGGATGTTTTCCACAGTTGCGGTATTCTCCCCAGCCTCCCCAGCCTCAGGCTCATGTTGTGCTCAACTATCCCACACGGCTGATCTGCGCAGAACATAAGGAGCCTGGAGCTGATGCCATCTGGACCTGCATCTGGCTGCACCTTGGGAGTGCAGAAGAGGGGGGCTGCAGCAGAGATGGCTGTGTATGGGGAGGGGCAGGAATATTATCAAATCTTTTGAAAAATAGATTGAGATCATTCACCCACTTCTGTTCCCCTCCAGCCTGAGAGTTGGACTTCTTGTGACCAAAGATGGTTTTAAGGTTTTTCAGACTCTGCTGATGTTGTTCTTCTGCAGCTGTCCCTCCATCTACCTCCTGTAGCTGGCTTTCTCCTCCCAGGTCTTCTTCCTCAGTTTCCTCTGCACAGCTCTCAGCTCCTGCTGCTTGTCTCCTGATCTAAAGGCCCCTTTCTCTCCTTCAGAAGAGACTTTATATCAGGGTTGATCCAGGGTTTGTTGTTGGAGAAGCAACAAACAGTCCTGCTGTGTACACTGTTCTCCACACAGAAGTTAATATAGTCCGTTATGCAGCATGTGAGACTGTCAGTCTTCTCCACATAAGGATCACACAGTCCGATCTGACAATAACTTCTGACTTGTAGCTTTGTTTTTTCTATTGTTCTTGCTAGTTATTTTAGCATTGCTGGACATCATGAATGGTACTCACAGAGAAAAATATATCATTGAAAAACTTAGTGCAGATATTAAGGTTGAGCTCTTGTACAGTTCTGAACTGAGTACAAGGCAGTTAAACCAGAATTGAGAGGGGAAAAATGTAACTTTAGCAGATGGCATGAGTTATGCATCTACACACTCTGCCCTCTTGGGTGACCCCCATCATACTATAGCTATGATCAATTGGGTTCCGGTTTCACTGGCATTTCTGGATGTTCTCAGTCATCCAGGCCTTAAGCAGTGGCATTTGCTTGTCCAAACTAATTTACTGGGTTCAAAATCTTGACGATGTAGTGAACTGCTGTAGCAGTTGTGTTAAGTATTAATTTGCATGCAGAACTTAGCAAACTAAGGGTAGGAACCCATACAAATTTTCATAAAGAAGCATTTGTAGATTTTGATACAGGTAAAGCCTACTCTACAGGATGAAAATTAGTGTGCCCCAAGGGGTATGGGGTTGACACTGACAGATGTTGCTGAGATTTCAGAGGTCTTTAGAATATCTAGAAGTTCTGGGATGCCAGGACATCACTGTAAGGTTGCGTTCAGACCACATAAAAAAAAGGTCCCCTAATTATATACAGTGAGGCCAATCCAACAGCACAGAGGGCTCCAACAAAAAAACGCATGGCTGTCCAGAAACAGTTTACCTAACGTAACCTTTAACACAAATTCATCTGGTAAGGCACAGCAGTGGCCAGTCAAATACATGTGGTAGACATTCTTTGGAGATTACTAACATTGAATTTCTAGTTTGGGTTGTCTAAGATCTTCATAATGTTCCAGAGTTTTAAAATCATGTCTTGTAATGCTATAAACTGCTATGTAATGTTTTGGTATTTGATACAGCTTCTGAGGTCTTATTTCATGTTTCCTTAGTGGCTAAATGTGCAGCACGTGCCCACCAAAGCAGCTCTTTTTGAGGCAAAGCTATTTTGGGCAGTCATTTTACAATGCTGCATCTGTATTGCAGTCTTAAATTTCTAGTTGCTCCTAATAAAATAACCTATTTCCTATGTACAATACATTTCAGCGCCTTCTCTTTGTCAGACTGTGGATAAGGCAGTAGAGCTCCATCATACTCTCTCCAACTCTCTCTCCCACTCAAAGAAGCCTGAGGTTTCACTCATTATACCTTGTGTATGGACTATAAGGATGCTTGCCTTTTTCCCATTACACTTTGCCCACATCCGTCCTTCATTGGGTATAAATATTGTCAAGTCACCCATGCCAATTAGATCTACTATAGCCGCAGCCAGATAATGTGGCTCCAAAGTAGATTTTCTTACTCACAAGTCACAGTTTTAAGTGCTTGTGTTTCTATGATTAATGAGCTAATCTCATTTAGTAAGAAAATAAATTGGATTTTTTTTTTTAAATACCATGAGTACTGTAGATAGAATTGGTCTCTCTCTGTCTCTTGCTCGCTAATTTCACCCTTTAGCTTGTTTGTTGATTGTATTGTTGTGACTGTGTGAAAAGCCTGAAAGCGTGTCAGTACCACTTCTCTATTAATATTTTGTCATTTCCCTTTAATCCATATTTTCTCTCTTAGTTAACCCTCTTTCTGTGTGATATGAATGACTACCCTTTCTCAGGCTCTTTGGATTAAAGCCTATCTATGTTTGCAGGTTCTCATCACAGGCCCAGCTGACACCCCGTACGCCAATGGCTGCTTTGAGTTTGATGTGTATTTTCCCCAAGACTATCCCAACTCGCCTCCATTGGTCAACCTAGAGACCACAGGCGGACACAGTGTGCGCTTTAATCCTAACCTCTACAATGATGGCAAAGTGAGTTGAAAACTATTTTTTCATTTGTGTGCCAACATTAAAAATTCTAAATCTTTATGCATTTTTGTGTTCTCATCAACATTACTACCAAAACTAAAATGAAGTCTCTATTAACAAATAAGTTTTGCTCTCCTCCTAAGTATGACTCTGCCATGTTTACAATGAAATTGGATGTGAAATGAACAACCTAATTAGTCCTGATTTTAGATCAGATCTAATAATGGCAGTAGACTTTACTGTGGTCATTTTCATAATGGCAAAATCTCCTAAAAATCTATTTTGCACCATACATAGAAAATTTGCTATTTCTGAGTTGCCAAACATGCTCTGAAAATAAAAATATGACATGCCTAGCTATGGCATGTACTGACAGTAATGTGAGTGAAAAAGGAGGAAAAAACAGCCTAGAGTTGGGAGGGCTGACTTGCAGTCCAACTGACATCTCAACCGACTTTACAGTAGATAAGGTAGGAAAAATAACATACCTGGTTGTCTGTCACTCACCCAGTATTGGTGTTGAATTGTCAAATTAACCCAGCATATCTGAAGACATTCCCACGTCTGTTAGATGTCCAGTTTTTATTTTAACTTTTATTTGGAAGTGGACATCCCTCAAGGCTTCCTTCAGACATGTTAGAATATATATAGCTCTTCCATTGTGGTCGTGGCTTCCTTCTGTTGAGGAGATGGGGTCAAAGTGCGAAACTCACCTTGTGTTCTGCACCTTATTAGATAGCTGCTGACAGTCCACATGTATTTCCATAATTGGTCCAGACAGCTGTGATAAGAAATACCTTGGACTTCCCACATGAATAGTATGGCTAGAGGGAAGCCAGCCACTATTCAGCATAACTGAAGAAGCTGGTTAAATGGAGGAAAGAGAAGGCAGATGCATCATAACAAAGTTGTAGTTGTCAAAATTCAACAGGAAGTGTTCTGCCCAGCTGTGAGCCATGGAACAGATTGTGATTGTTTCAGAACAGTGATCTGAAACAGCTGCCTACGCTGTTTCAAAACATAAATGCTGGAAACATTTCTTATTAGTAAGCATATCCACACAGCATAAATCATGTAGTATTAATGGAAGTTTAATGAGCACAAAATAAATTGCTTAATATCCAAGCCTTTTTATCCAGTCCAACAATGGATGGAGCATTCCCTGATTTTTTTGACATTCATTGTTGAACTCTTTGAACAATTCTCTCATCCATGTTGTTCATACCAGGTGATGCATAAAAATGTAGCAACTGGTAGCCAATATTTCCGAAGTTACTCACTTGTGTGGTGTCAGTAGATTTTTACTAGATAATCAGTTTGTGAATGCACAGTGTGGTGAATCCCCATTAAAGACTGGCATGGACATGAAAGGAAATTTAGAAATTTACTTATATGTGTATTTTTTCTAGTCGGACGAGAAGATATAAAATCATAGCCAAACATATTGGCACGCCTGCGTTCCTGTCAGATAAGGCACCACTTCTCCCAGAAAATTGTTTCAATCACAAATTCTTTGGTATTCTCATGTTTATTTCTCTTGTTTGCACTGGATCAGCATTAAAAAAAAAAAACAAATCTGGTCCATTCCACATAGAACTCCAAAAAATGGACTGGAAGGAATTATTGACTTAGCTTAATATTTGGCAGCACACCATTTAGGTAAATTCAGTCACTTTCTGTAACCATCAGTGAGTTTCTTCGTCCTCTCTACTGGAATGTTGGACCACTCCTCTTTTACCAGCTGCTCCAGGTCTCTCAGGTTTGAAGGGTTCCTTCTCCCAGCTGCTGTTCTGAGATCTCTCCACAGCTGCTCTATGGGATTTAGATCTGGACTCATTGCTGGCCACTTCAGAACTCTCCAGCACATTGTCTGAAACCATTTCTAGGGCTTTGTGAAGTCTGCTTTGGGTCATCAATTACCAGCAAGGTGCTGTGACTTTATGGGATCTTGTCAACAAGGGGTCTTGTTTCCAGGCTAGCAGCAGAGGTACTGCACAGAAATGCTGGATGAACAGAAACTAAATGAATTGCAAAAATATAGTAGTTAACACTGAACTACAAGTTGTTATTCTTTCCTTATGTGAGTGTGTACAGGTTAAACAAATGAGATATCGAGTGGTAGTTTGGGAGCTATAGAGGTGTTGGTAGGTGGATACTTGCACAGAGTCAGGCTAGTTGTTTTACCCTGCTTTTGGGTGAAGCTGAGCAGCTCCTGGTTTCAGACACTGACTCTTGAAAAGAAAACAAATAAGCATGTTTCTTTGATGAATTCCAGTGGAGATCTGGAAATGTCAAAAGAAAAAAATAAAATGCCGCATTACATATTTCCATTTGGTACAGTGGTGCAGCAGTGAATTTTGAGTTTCAATATTTCACTCATTCAGAATCTTATTGGCTTCAACAAAGAGCAAGAACAAGCTGATATGCACTGTACAGGATACTGTCAGATGGTGTAGGATGAATTTTCCAACATTAAAGCTGTTTAAGATGGAAATAACAAGAAAGCTACAGTCAGGTGCAGTTTTTAGGTCCACTGAGCTAAAACTAATGTAGCGTAATGCAACAGTTGAGCAGTACATCATAATTTCATGAAGATGATCATGTTTTTGTTGAAGACAGGTGTTGAGTCAACTATTTAGTGTTTTACCTCATTGATTTAAATGGGAGAACAAAATAATAGAGACACATCTCTGTAATCCAGCACAGCAGCAGTACAAACTACATCCTCCTACATCATACACTTGAATCAGCGCCTGTCTAACAGACTGAACACAAACTGTACATTAAAGCCTTCATGAAAGAGCACTTATCACAGGACTTGTATTTGTCTGCATTAGTTTTAGTTTGGTGTACATAAAGTAGCTGTCAGAGTATATATTAAAGGTCTAAAAATGCTAACTTTATTGCAGCTACATACTATTGAATCACAGAAAGGGTTATGGATTTGAGAAGGCTGATTTATATAAACCATACCTAAAAATAAAGTTCCCAAAGGTATTTGGCCCTGAACATGCTTGAGTCCAGCACCAATGGGCTTAAGCGTCGATACCTGTGGCATATGTATACATTTTGCTGAGACTGATTTGTTTTTAATTTTGTGTGTTTGTGTTAATCAGGTATGTTTAAGTATCCTCAACACATGGCATGGGAGACCAGAGGAGAAATGGAACCCACAGACCTCAAGCTTTTTACAGGTGAGGGAAGATCCATCACGGGTAACCCCTGTCTGAATGGATCAGCAGGGCTGATGTTCCAGGCTTTGTGTCACAGGGTACAGTTTATACTTGCCTGTTATTACACCACCAGGGGCTCTGTATTAATGGGCTTGGTCTTTCGACAACTACCATGAAGCATTATTATTTTTAATGTGAAGTTATTGTTTTGCTTTGGTGTCAGCATGTGGTTTAATCAAACCAAACACAAGCCAGTATCATTTGAGCCTCTGGGTCATGCCTACTTGGACCCTTCACTCATCTTAAAGTCCGAATCATTTGGCTTGAGTTGCATGTCTAACCCAGATGCTATGACTGACTGACCTGACTGTTTATCTCTTTTCATTGAATTGCGCACAAGCCTGACACACTTAACGTGTTATCATTACTTTGAAACCCATCCTGTGATGCACAACTTAGATGATACTTCACTAAGATTCATTCTAAACTAGCTACTGTACGTTGTCCAGCTTTAAGAAAGAACAAAGAACTTTTAAGACTAGCTTGAGATGATTTTCACAAAAATTTAGATCAGTTATGCCTCAAATGCTCTAAAAAAAGCACATTTTTAGATAGCGCTCTCGCTGTCAAGTGTGACACCACAAGCAGAAGTATCTGTTTGCTCCTTCACTTTCTACCATTTATAAGATGAGTTGTTGTAGCGCTACAATTTTCAATAACATTTTTGTTTTACCCATTTTTATTTATGCATAAGCAGATCTGTTTGCTGATCAAGCTTTTTGTAAAGTGTAATTGATTAGTGTTTACATCATCTAAAGCCTTAAGGGGTTTTAAAATGACAGTACAGTGTGTGTGTGCAATATATAATGTGTAGCATTAAGGAACTACTGGGTATCCAAAGTGGTGCACAGACGTATTAATAAACACGCAGGTTCTTGAACACAGCATGACAGTGCACACCCACACTATTACTTAGTTGTCATGTACACATTTGCATTAATTTTCCATATATATTTATCCAGCAGCAAGTGAGCCAGAGGTATTAGAGGGTATTTATTTATTTATATAGATTAAATATAAATAATTAAATAATTCCCTCATTTGTAGTGTAGGTGGGTGCATAAAGATGTCTCTATTGACTATCGTTCCAGTTAGTGCTGCAGATCAATAATGGAAAACGAGGGGTGTGTGAAAAGGAGACAAGGAAGTGGACTAGAATCAAATGGTCATTGATGGGTGGATATCGGCTTTGAAATCTGGCAACCCAGTTTAATACATACAAGTCATGTCAGTTGAAGGTTGTTGTTATCCATCTGATGGAGCATTTTCAAGTTCATCCAGCTCCAGTGTGGAGAGGGCCAGCAGGCAAGACTCCAAGCCCAAGATCGTCATCGTTGGTAATGAAGTGGCTTGGAGCAGACGGAGTGAGACAGGAGGACGTCTGTAGTCTCCTTGAGACAAGCCAAGGCATTAAGCGAGCTGTTAATAGAGATATATTGAAAGATAGATCTATTATGGGCCCAGAATATTCAGTCTGTTTGTGTGTTCACCACTCATAAGATCATTTCACAGGCTATGGATGTGGAGGGCACTGGGGGGATGTGATTATATCAAACTAGTATTACATTGTGTTACTACTGTATGTGGTTTTCATCCCAGCTCTTCTGGAAACTAAACCGAGCTACCCCTTGTATCATTTAAGTGTTCATAATGGACATAAACACAGTGGGGAACCTAGATACTCATCAAAGTTCCTGTCATTTGTCGATCTGTTGTAGGTGCTAGTGTCGGTGCAGTCCCTCATCCTGGTGGCTGAGCCCTACTTCAATGAGCCAGGGTATGAGCGGTCCCGTGGGACTCCCAGTGGCACCCAAAGCTCACGGGAATATGATGGTAACATCAGGCAGGCCACTGTCAAATGGGCCATGCTGGAGCAGATGCGCAACCCCTCGCCATGCTTCAAAGAGGTAGGAATCAGTATATTCCAAATATTGCCATAATGTGCTCATTCAGACCTTTCAGATGTCGTTGTTTGTGTGACCTGACATGATAAATCTATTGGCACAGACCCGGTACCTTACCAGACCTGTGCACTCCAGCCTGTCTTGACAAAAACTGCCTAATAAGAGCAAACTGGAAAGAGATGGCCCTCCATTAAAAACAAAAACTGCAAACAAATAATCACCTAATTTACAATCCAATTGTTAATCTGTCTGTTAAACTGAGAAACTCACTGTCCTCAAGAGCAGCTCCTCCAGCTGTAGTCTGCTGGTGTTCGATGTAGGCAGGGACTGGAAAAACAGAGGTGGACAGACTGTCGTGTAAGGGAGACTGAATTTGCAAGAGAATGAAGGGGGAATATTTTGTACAAGAAGCATGGAGGAAAGTAAGATAAACGTCATTTCAGTATACCACCAATTCTTTAATCATTAAAACTTCTGAAAATTGGCAGTTTTACTTTAAGAGTGATGCATATGTTTAAGATGAAGCAACAGAAATGGTCTGGATGCAGCCTTTCTTCCTCAGTTTTTTGATTTCCCATGATCCTTTAAATGGGCCATGGTAAGACGGATAGTGCCTGGCAAGATAACAATCTTTCACCCAGCTCATCCAGAGCAAGCTCATTCGGAAATGTTGAGAAAGAGGAACGGAGCAAAAGGAGCACTTCGGAGAGGAAAATGGGAGAGGTGGAAGGCAGAGAAGTGATCCAATCACTTTGACAGGATTTGAGAAGAACATGAAATTAAAAAATGCATGTTTCTAAAAACAAATTTTCATGTTATTATTGATTTTTATAGACTGATTAGCCAAAAAGACAGTTTATCCATTTCAGAATAAATCCACAAGACAAAAAAGTGAGGGGGGCTTTGTACTTTACTGTATTGTAACACCAAGCAAAGCTTCTCGAAGTGACACTGAGGCTTGGATTTTGGTTTACTGCTCTCACAAGTTATTAAATGCCAAATCTTGGGTTTGTTTGGGCTTAATAAGTTGAGGAAAATTTATAATTGCGGTTCTTGTGATCTAATTTGAATTACCTTCTGTAAAATAATTTCCAGATCTGTACTGTGGCCTGCGTGGAATTAAATGAGGTTTGTTTGCGGTTTGTTGTTGTTTCAAACCACTCAAGGAAAAAAAGAGAAAGCTCAAATCAGAATCAGCTTAACTGGCCAAATATGTTGTACGCACAAGGAATTTGCCTCCAGTACAGTGGCTCTGTGAGCTTTTATAAGAAAACCGTGCACTGAGATAGGAAAAAAGAAACAAAACATAGCTACATTTATACTGTATACCTTGTGGCAGAAGCACTTTCAGATAAATATGTACAGTGGTTATATTTACAAATGCAATTGCAATTAAGATAATGTTTTCTGTGGGGAAAAGTAACCTATTATCATTTTGTAAGAAATAAAACATGAACTATTTAATCATTCGTCTTTAGAAATGGTTGTTTATGCGCCTCAGGTAATCTGTCCCAGTAACATACCTCTTAAGATTCTTAATACAGTTTAGTTTCAGAAACAAACAGACATGATGTTCACTGCTGAATTTTATCAAGGAATTGAGCAGAGCCATAGGGTTGAAGATGCCTTAGTTCTTCAGATGCTGTTCAGGTTATGTGTGAAATGTTTTGATTTACATTTGTATGATATTCATATTATTCTCTGAATGTGTCCACAGCTACTGGCACTCACATTTTGTGAGATGTAAAGGGCAAATATTATTCTTGAACAGCAGGTGATGCTGGAATAAAAGGGGAAAAACAAACGGGGTCTATGACATCACCCTCCCAGTCAGTGAAATGGACCGTTGGACCGAGAGGTATTGAGAAGTTGTCATAGGGCAATGAATGTGACTTGGCAGTGCTGCCCTACTGAGCAGCCTCACACAGGTCCACTGAAATTAAATTAAGCTGGGTGAAATACTCCCAAATGATCTTCTCTCTGTCGGCCTTTTAGCACCTTTAAGTCCTCAGCTGAGACGAGCATCAACATAGAGAAGGAAACCACCAGCCATGAACAACACAGATTTACCAGTGACCCCCCCTTCCTGATAAACATGTGTACATGTCCCTGTACACTTCTCATACAGTCAGAAGTCGTGATGAGAAAAACTTGACGACCTTGATTATTTTCAATATTATTTATTCCCAGTTACCACTCGTACTTCACCTCCTTCAGTTTTTCAAATGCTTTTGCTTTATGTTGGTGAAACTGCACGGAATAAATCCCTGTGTTTGGAAATGTGTCACCCAGTGTGTGGAGAACATGTTTATAACTTCAAATTAATTATTTAATAGTATTTCATTTACACATTGACAAACTTTTAATATGTGCATCCTGGAGCCTTTTCAGTCATGTGATCACATTCAGTTCATACTGAAGTCTTAATGTCTAATCAAGTCAGAGTACAAGTCAAACTTTTACTGAACCTGCATTACTGACATGATCCTGAAATCTCTCAGTGTGCAGAGATAACCTGACCTGGTGCTCCCTGCTGCAGCTTGGCTGATACGTCTCGAGACTGACACCGTCGACTTCTCATGAAGTAGCATATTTAGCTGACAGAAATGTGGCACCTGCGCAGTTCTGTCCAACTGTCCCTTCAGGTCTTTAAAGCCAGTCCTCCAGGATGAAATCAATAGGTTGTTCAGCTTGACCTAGAAGGTACCCTCCATATGAACCATTGGCCCCTGCCTTCTTGTAGCCATCTCATTTTGCTGTACAGCTTCATCAGAAGCATCCATATTGAGCTTTACTGTTCCAGCAGCAGGCTCTTAACTGGCAAAAGCTCCACTATTCTTTAACCCCGTCACCAAATTTATGCATGTATCAATCATCCTGACCTCATTTTGAACACTGCTGCATCCTTATCACAGAAAATTTATATTCATGTGTTGACCAATTGAGCTTAGTGTGTAAATGGTGCGTATTCCTCAATCAGATATAAATTTCCACTGTAAGAATAATATAGCTCCAAAACCAACAGTTGTCACTGGGCTGCTGTGACTGAAATATCTTATCTGCTTATCTGACTGCAAATCAGTTTCATAGTCTTTATAATCACCTTAGGAAATGTTTGACATTGTTTATGCTTAGTTACTTCTTTTGTCACTCTGCAGCAGCAACCGTAATATTACATATCGTGTATTAGGAAAGTTTTATTGAGTAATTGATATAATGTTGCTTCTGGTCACCAGTGGCGGGACTGAGCAGAAGCTCAGAGAAAAGCCAGGTAGCAGAGTGTGTTCAAAGGTGTTCTCTGTTCCACCTGTAACCACACACAGCGGTGATGTCCTGGAGTGACACGTGACATGATGTGAGCTGGGTGTTTAGATCCCACCCTCTCAGCAACCCAGGTTGGGGGTGGAAGAAAAACCTCATTTTATATTTTTGTATTTGTTGAATAGAAAGATAATTGAAAAGACAAGTCTTAAATCTGACAGATGAATGATGCAATTTTAGAAAATTCAGTTTTCCACTTTTCCATTTTGCATTTGGTCTACAGAAAATTGAATTGATGAGCATCACACAGACCATCATCTTTTCCTTATTAATGGTGAAGATTTGTAACTTCCTGTGATTTTAAATTTTTAAAATTCTTTC